GACGGCCGCCATGGCTGCTTCTTCTTCTGCCTTGGCCTCTTCTTTCTCTTCTTTGGGTTCTTTTTCTTCTCTGGGTTCTTCTTGTTCCTCGGTTTTCGCTTCTTCTTCTGCCTTGGGCCCTTCTTTTTCTTCTTTGGGTTCTTTTTCTTCTTCCTTTTCTTCTCTTTCTTCCTTTTCTTCCTCCTTTTCTTCTTCTTTGGGTTCTTCTTTTTCACTTTCTTCGGGGGGAATTAGGAAGTCCGCGTTGGGAGGCGCTTGGGGGCTGTTAGCGCCGCGAGAGCCCGCCGGCCGGGCCGCCGAGGCGGCGATCGGCGCGTCGAAGACCGGCCGCAGGCGTAACTTGGCGAGAAGCATCGGGGGGCAACAAATGTGTGGTGTTATTGTATGATTTGTGGGCTGGGGAGGTTGTCGATTCTGCCCTGGGCCCGTTAGGATCGCTGAAGAATAAAACGGGAAACTCGGACTGGCCCGCACTCGATAATTGTACAACCCTATCTAACGAAGGAATTACCATTCAGAATAAAAAAAAAGAGGGGACGGGTGAAAAGTGCATAAACCACAGCAAAAAAAAAACCATATTCCTATTCATTTCCACACCCTTGTCGAGAGGACGCAAAGGAAAACGCCCAGCTCGGCGCGGCGTCTCGAGGAGTCGTTTACTTTAGTCGCACTGGTTTTTTATTATTTAATAGTCTTAAATTGTCTCAATTCAATTGTTAACCTTAATTAACGCCAAACAAACCGTACGATTTAACCACCCTAGATGATACACCTTAGTTGTTGTTGTTTTTAATTTAGAGGTGTTGTGTTTTTTTATTCCGGACAATTGACGACTATGGGGTTATATCACCTACACCCCATCGCATGGAAGCGTCATGCTTGTAGAAGCCATGCATGGATTCCTTGATCAACCTGCGGTGCGGTCGAACTCGCCCAACCCCCATCTCCTGCAGACCCCCGCACATCATCGAAGAAAAAAGAAACCCACTCAACCCCTTTTGGCGGTTGAGTGAAGGGGAAAAAACGGGAGATCCGGCGCGGCCCCTCCCCCTGCTCAGGCCGTTTCCTTCTTTTGCTTCTTCGCGGCGGCCTCGACGGCGCCGTCCTCGGAGTGCCGGCGCTGCTTGCGCTCCCGGCGCTGAAGAATGTGCTGATATTGCTCCAGGGCCTCCGCCATGGCGGCCTTATTGCTCGGGGGCTTATTCCCGGAGTCGAAGAAGCCCACCCGCGCCTCCACCTGCTCCCGGAGCTTCTCCCCGAAGACCGCGGGGGGCTGCTCCATAAAACAGTCAATCCGGCAGGCCAGGGCCGCCTTGTTGGCGAGGTAGCGGGAGATCTTCCCCCGGTTCTCCTTCGTCGCGCGCTGAATAAAGGAGGAGTGGAAGATCAGGCCGTACTTGGGGGTGTTGCCCTTGCGCTTTTTGAGCGCGCGAAAGAGCGCCTTCTCCGCGCCGAGGATCTGAATCGTGCTGGCCGGGGACTTCGCGAGGTTGGTGAGGGAGCCGGCCTTCGCGATCAGCTTGGCGCCGATGTTCTGGCCGATCAGCTGTGTGAGGTTGGGCGCCACGAGCATCATTTTGTCCACCAAGTACTGCGCGAGGCCCTCGCGGTAGGCCCCGAGCGACACCACCCGCTTGGCGAAGGTGCGAAAGCACTCCCAATCCACCTCCGCCATCTCCCCGCCCATCGAGGTGGCGGCCTTTTCGTAGACCCGCGCGGCCAGCGCCTCATCGCCGTCGAGGATCTCGGCGAAGGCGGCCTTGGCCTCCGCCCCGTCCCGCTCCTCGAGCGACCCGCGGCTGCCGATCAGCAGGGCGATGGCGGCGTACTTCAGCGGCTCCGGCACCTCCTTCGCGAGCTCCGGGAAGTGCCAGCCATACCACTCCTTCACCCGCATCCCGAGCAAATTAACGCCCTTGTCCATATGGTCCGCCAGGGCGGAGGCCTGGATGATCATATTATCGCTCCGGTGGACGTTGAACTTCACTTTATTGCGGGAGAAGGCGTGGCCGAGGCCGCACTGCGCGCGCGGGACGTCGCCCTCGGCGTGCTCGGGCAAAAGCCGCTCCGCGTGGAGCCGCAAACACCGCGCGAGCTCCCCGACGCCTTCATTGCAGACGACGGGAAACTTCAGTTGGTCGTGGATGGCGCCGGCGAGTTTGGGGTCCTGCACCCCGAGCTCCCACCCGCCCTCGCGCTTCGCCGCCGTCTTCGCCAGGGCGGCCGCGAGAACGCGGGCGAGAAAAGGGCTCAGCAGCCCCTCCGCGATGCACACGGCGTCCTCCAGGGCGTTCGCGGGGGACTCGAACGGGGCGAAAGCCACCAGCCGCACCCACGGGGCGAAAACGGAAAAATCCTGCAGCCCCACCTGCAAGGGGACCGCGTCGGCCCCGATGGCCTCGTCCCGCAGGACTTTGAAGAGGCCGTAGCCCGTGGGGGACTCGTGGAGAAGATAAAGCACTTTCGACATCGGGTCGGGGACGGGGGAAGGACGGGAAAAAGGGGGGGGGAACTAATCAATAGAACTATCCCTATAGTTAGATATAGATATATCGTTGAGAAGGAAAAATAGTATAGATACCTATCTACAAATACTTGAGAAGGAAAAATGGTATAGATAGCTATCTACAAATACCTGGGAAGAGGAAAGCGTATAGATATCTCTATATCGAGAGAGATACTTGGGAAGGGAAAATAATATGTAGATGTCGATCTAGATATGCTTGGGAAGGGGAAGGAATATAAATAGCCCTCTGTATATATATATATTATAATATGAAGGAATTAGG